AATCACCCACTCCCAGAAGCTAGAAGAAATGGAGGCAAGAAAGCGCAGGACAGATCACCTGTAGTTCTGTAGTACAAAAGCAAACTGAAATGGAATCTTGAATGCTAACTGTGTGTGGAACACAAAGCAAAAATTATCAGTGAAAATGATCCATCAACATAAGGCTAGCTGAGTCCACCCCAGGTTGAAGAGAAGTCCTGGGTTCACCTATTTATAGCAGGGCTGTCAGACTCATTTTCACCGGGGGCCACATCAGTCTCACAGTTGCCTTCAAAAGGCCGAATGTAATTTTAGGACTGTATAAATGTAACTGCTCCTTAACTAGCAGCAAAGAGCTCGGTGCTGCCACTGGGTAGAAACAAGGTGCTGGGCTGGATAAAACAAGGTGGAGGGCTAGATTTGGCCCTCGGGCCTTGTGATTGCCAGCTGTGGTTTATAGGCTGCACTTTGCAATTGTGAATTAGTGCATAAAACTTACAAAAATCATGTTCTTACTTTAAGGAAAAAATATAGCCCTGGCTGGTGGACATAGTGTGGCTCAGTGGACTGAGCTCCAGCTTGCAGACTGAAAGGTCATCACTGGTTCGATTCCCAGTCAGGGCACATGGCTGCTTTGCAGGCCAGGTCCCCAGTAGGGGGCAGGTGACAGGCAACCCATCTATGTTTTTCTTGCACATGTTTCTCTCCCTTTCTCCCTCCTTGCCCCTCCCGCTCTAAAAAAGTAAATAAAATCTTTAAAAAGTATATACAGAGAAGGAAGTAATTGCCAGCTATTTTAAAAAATTCCAGGAAGACGAGATTTAGGAGAGAAACGTTACAGATAAAGACAACAAAATAATGTCTAAACAAAGAAGGCAGGCACACACGGAAGAGGCCAAAGAGGACAGAGAATAGAAGGTAACCACCACCAGGCTGTAACACTCTCACAGGCACCTGGCAGCCCAAGGCGTGCCTTCACGCCCATGTAAACGCACTGTGAAAAAGCCCTTCTCTACCTCTCCTCTGAAGAAGCATACAGTTTTTTGTTTTGTTTTGGCATGAATAGTTAACTTATTAGGTCCACCAGAAAAAGCGCATTCCTGAAACAGACCTATACTGACAGCTGTGGGCGGGGCATTTCTCCTGGCCTTTCACCGGCCCCTCTGGTGAGGCTCAGACACTGACCAACTCATACCCAGATTAACTGGTATTTGCAGCTACGCTGTTATGAAGCCCCTCCTTATTTCACAGGGCGCAGCAGAAGGAAGGCTGGCTTCAGTGTGGTTGGCAGGGTATGTGAATGTCTCACATGAGATGGACAGCAATGTGAACATTTCACTTCAAATGTCATATGGGGTGCTTGAGTGTGATATTGTTATGTTACAGAATCACATGCTTATGATTTTGTAATAAAAGGGGGGTGTTATTTGTGCCAGTCCCTGTAGTTTGCAGATTTTAAAAAATCTTACATAGAAATGACTTTATTAAAACTTCATGCTGCGCAAGGACTCCATGCTGCACATACTCTCACACACACAGCTGTATGGGAAGCAGTGCAGCTCTCTGCAAATACTGACCCTTCTACACATGTAACTGAAATGTACATGTAAGTGGTTTTCTGGGAGTCAGGAGTTGAAGGTTTCTGCTCCTTTTGACATGGTTTGCGGGTTAGAGGCCTTGAGTCATCATGCAGAAAGTAGGAACATTAAGAAGTTACTCCTCTTTGTTCAGCAAAATGAACTGGGCAACTGTCTGTCATTCACAGGGGCACACACTGGGCAAAGATGCTGGGATGAACACCGTGGGTGAGAAACCCGCTGGAACGGGAGGGCGCTACAGGTGTACGAGTGTCTGGGATCACCTAAGTGGGCACTCACTGGCTCCCGGAAGGACCTGCGGGAAGCAAGAGGGAGGCGGCAGAATGGCCAGCCAGCGAGGGCAGGCGCAGAAGTCTGGACGCTCGAGTCAGACCGGGGCCTGAGGAGGCGTGTCAGGTGTGCGGAGAGGTTTCAGCTTTACAGTGAGTGCTCTTCAGCCAGTGTCTCACGCCGGCAGTGCCACTGGTCACCAGGACTGCAGCTCTGCACGCCGCGCTGGCTGAGGGCATCTTCGGTCACCACACAAAGTGGCACTGCCTACGGCCAAGGCCAGAACTCTAAGAGGAAAGTGAAACTGGCTGGTGAAAGTACATTAAAATTAGAACTCTTTTCACCTCTCCTGTGCTTTCCACAAATCATTTTATTGTGTGGTTTGTCTTTAAGACTGGAGAGTAAAACAGCCATTACAAAAATAAAAAAAAATTAAAATCTCTTCCTAATGTTATAAGGCTTATAGAAAATACATACATTTTTCTAGGGCACAACACTTTACAGCAATTAATGGGCTTTTTAATTGTAGAAAGTTAGTGTGTATGGCTTCTCCTAACGACATCTGAATATAACCATCCTATGTAATTACCAACCTACATTAATGCAGTTCTCATGGGGTGCCACAAGAAAAAAACGACAATAACCCCTCCCCCCGCATATTCACCAACAGGGAGACTCGAGGACAGAGCGGGTAGGAACACAGCCCAGGCAGAAATACGCAGTGGAACTTAATCACTGTAATTTAGATCCTGTCACCAAGTCCCAGGTACAGCTCTTTTATGCACTGTCAAGAGATCTCTACATTAATTGCCGTTCCCGTCTTCTGAGGACACAAACTCTCTAATTTTCAGTGATTTCGGTTTCTCTAGCAATGTGCATTTGGTGGCAAGTCCCCTCTCCTCCAGAAGAGGAAGGCTGCTAAAGCTCTGATTATCCAGCTCACTCTGCCAAGATCAACAGACTGAAGTCACACAGCATCCCCGGGTACCAGGGCCGAGCAACGAACGTGACTCAGCCCATCCGCGGGTGGAGGCCCTGCCACCCTCCCTGAAAGGCTACATTCTTCTCTTCTGCAGTAAGTCTGACTTTCAACAGAAGAGTTATTTCTCCATGATGACTTAAATAATTTTTGCATGGTCAGTTTGAAGCAGAAAATTTGGATTAGCCTCTGAGGTCTTCAGGCAGCCCCAGTCAGCACATTCTGAAAATACAATCCCAGGTGCCTGCTTCCAGCGGGGACTTTGTAGATGCCCTGGGGTCTGTCTGATTTGTTAGGTGGCGCAGGCGATGGCCCATGCTCTGTGCTTTGGCCTCGGAGGCCTAGCCTTCCCAACCTTACTCCATGCTGATGCCCCACTAGACGAGATCTCTGTAACTGATTTTCTTCTACTACCATCAAATGAGACCAGAGCTATACCCCCAGATTCAATATCATTGTTAAAAAAGACATCTTTCTTTCCAAACAAAGAACTGGAAAGCAAAGAAACAAGAGTGAATCTAAACGGAGAAACTATGCTGAACTCAAAAATGGGGTGTGACAAAAACAGTGAGTGTCCTAATTCTGTGTCATGTGACTCCTCTATATTATATTATGATGGTATTGGATGCCCAGCTTTCTGTTCCACTTTTCCAAACACTTCCTTAACCTGCTTGAATCACAGACACTCTGCTTCCTGAACCTTGGAAAGGTAACTGGACGCCTGGCACTCAGGACTGCCGCTACCTTGCTAATTGTTTGGGGGCCATGCAGTTCCCAGACCCACCACAGAAACTTTTCATTACTGGAATGTGGGACTGGGAAACAGAAAGAGACATGTAAAATGCTGGGCCAGACTGAAATTTTAAAAGGTGGGAAACTCTCAAGAATCTTACCAGTAATAATATAGAGGCAATGAAGACAACTGATATTTAACTGATCAGGTTAAAGCCAAATTGCGTGGAAGATGTTCTCTCTCATGAAGGTTATCCCAAGTTTGCTGACAGATTTTTTTTTTTTTTTGTCTGGACTCCCATTTAGAAAGTCAAACTAAACCCAGCTTCTCTGCTGTCTCCCCAGGGGACGCGCAAACAGCAGAGGCCCAGAGGACAGCGGGGCCAGGTGCTGTCACACAGGCTGATCCGTGACGGGCGACAACAGTCAGAGGTGAAAGGAGAAACCACCGCAGAGATCAGCAGGCCCTGAAAGACAGTGATGGAGTGTTTCCTCCCCAAAGGAAGAACCTTATCATCCTCTGGGTCTGAGACTCAAATCCAAAGGAGGAAATGGAAACGGTACTTGCTGTGCCTGCTCCAGAACACGGGGGAGTGTGCACGTTTCTGTTTTGAACGGCAGAGGGGATGTCTACCTTCAGCTACGCTTCTCTGAGGTCTGCCCCCACCTTCAGCACACGGCTGTCAGTGGAAAATGACCAGGTGACGTGGGGAAAGGATGTTCTCTGGAAGACCAGCAGTGTAAAATAAAGCAAGGTTGTGCTTGGCCTCGCAAGTAACACCATGTTAGCCTTAGAAACGATCCCTCCCTTTGAAAAGTAAGGCCGAGATTTGCTTTTAATGTCTTCAAAAGACTGTCCATTCTGCTTTCTCTATCACTAGCTGAAAGCCCAAATTACAAAATTCTTCTAATTCTGGTGCACAGTAGGAAATTTTTTATAAAGTCAAAGACAACTTTACAAGGACTAAATCTGTAAACTTCTCTCATAGTTTAAAATAAAGTATTAGGATTGGAGGAAGAAAGTATTTTGGTGGCAAATAAAAGGCACTAAATAAATAAAAATAACTGTCACTTAAATAAAATCGTAAAAAATAAAAAGTTTAAAAAAAAAAAAGCCCCGGATGGTGTAGCTCAGTGGATTGTGTGCCAGCCCATGAAACCACAGGGCCGCCAGTTCGATACCCAGTCAGGGCCCACGCCTGGGTTGCGGGCCAGGTCCCCAGCTGGGAACGTGCGAAAGGCAACCACACGCTGATGTTTCTCTCCCTCCCTTCTCCTCTCTCTGAAAATAAATAAATAAAACCTTAAAAAAATAAAATCACTGTCACTGCATGGAAGACCCCCTTTCTTTACACACTCCTGAGCAGAGTGAGGTAGGGCAATGCTGCAAACTCGGCCTCGGGTGGCCTGGGGGAGGGCAGAGCGGCAGGAAGGGCGGTTACCTTGTGTGGGAAGCAGCGTCATTGATACTGAAAGTGCTGTTCTCCCTTGTCAGAGGGCTGGAGCCAGCCTGGCCCTTGCTGTGGATATCCAGGCTCAGGGAGGATTCTGCCTTCCGGTCCATGCCATGGCTGTCCGTCTCTAAAGTCCGATCCACCATGGAGATCACTTCGCTGGAACTGTGCCACAGGGGGGCCACCTTCTCCTTGCCTGGCCCCGAGCGAGGCGACGACGTGGCGGCCCCCAGGGAGGCGGTGCTGCCGTGGCTGGGGCCGTAGGAGGTGGTGTCGATGCCGCTGTCGGCAGAGGTGCCTTGCAGATAGTTGTAGCTGTTGAGCTCGGACTCGGTGCGGTCCCCGTCATACCACTTCTCGTCACTGTGGGCGCTCGAGGCGTTGCTGGAGAGCGTGTTGCTGCTGGAGTGGCTCGAGTAGTGGCTGTCGGACTGCAAGGGAAGCAAGGCTGACTCAGGTGCGGGTTTTGCTTCTTGGGCGCCAGGGAGAAAACACGAGAATGACCCTGCGGCGTGAGTCTAGTTAGGGGGTCCTCAAGGCAACGGATTCTAATGACGACAAACCGAAGTGAGACTGGGGGTGCCTGGACAGACCCCTGCAGAAGTGTTGATGGCAGAGCGTGCTGGAAGTGTTATTTTAGAATTCATTTTTCATTATTTGACTTGTTCCAAAGTATGAAATAGTACTGAGATAATTTTAATCAGAAAATAAATCTAAACTGTCATTAGTCTTTAATACTTTAATTTTAAAATAGAAAAAAATGACACTTCCAAAAGGCTTATAATTAGAAAAGACCTACTGTGCTCAGAGTACACAGAAGGCAGAATAATGTAAGACTTATCTCTAAAGAGAGCTGCTTTCCCCTTAGCATCCAATCAGGAGACAGCTTTCTGAGGAGAGCTTCGCGGTGTAATTTACACAGAGGTGCCGAGTCAGTTTGGGGCAGGGTGGGGACAGTCTTTTCAAGAAACATGCTGGGACAACTGGACACCCACAAAGAATGAAGCTGGATCCTTATCACATAAAAATAAACTCAGAAAGATCAAAGACCTCAACATAAGAGCGAAAAGTGTAAACTCTTAGAAGGAAACACAAGAATGACTAACTCTTCATGACTCTGGATTATGCGATCGTTTCTTAGACATGAGACCGAAAGCACACAAAAAATAAAGAAAAAGATAAACTGGGTTTCATCGAAACTAAAAACTTCTGTTTCAAATAACCTAATTAAAAACCAAAGGACCTGCAGGGACTTTTCTCCAAAGAAGTTATACGAATAGACCCTCAATGTCTTTGGCCGCTGAGGAGATGCAAAGTGCAGCCACAGCGAGCCAACACGTCACACGCTGGGACGGCTCTGCCCTCGAACTGGAGGCTGGCTCGGCTCAGCCGCCGGGGACGGAAGGCGGGGTGGCTGCCGCGGGGAAAGCTGCAGTTCCTCTCTTGGTGTCCCTTCGAGGGACATGAAGACACACGTTCACAAAGAAACTTCCTCCTGAATGTTCCCAGCAGCATTATCTGTATCAGCCAAAGAGGAGGAACCGCCCACGTGTCCACTCACTGACAAGCAGACAAGGAAACCTGGCATTTCTGGACAATGGAGGACTGTTCAGTCGCACAAAGAAATGAAGAGCGGACACACGTCACAACAGGTATGAACCCTGAAAACACTACGTGGAGCTACGTGAAAGAAGCCAGACATTGAAGGCCACGTATTCTGCTCCATCCTGAGCATATTCTGCTTCATACTGAGGCAACTCCAGTTTTCCTCAATAACGTCTGTGTCCCAGGCCTTCGTTTATTTCAGTTGGGCAGAGCTGCCTCAGGGCCGTGTCCGCGCTGTGGCGCCGGCAGCCCCCAGCCAGATGTGGCCACCAAGCACCTCCCAGGCAGCAGGTCTGCACTGAAATGCGTGAGAGGGTGTAAGCACGTTCCTTTCCTGCAGAAACATAAGCTGAACTGCATGTGTAATTTTAAATCTTCTAGTGGCCAAATTTTAAAAAGTAAAAAGAAAGAGGTAAAATTAATCTTAAGAAGATATTTTCTCTAACCCAACCTATTCAAAATATTATTTTACCATGTAATCAATATAAAGATTATTAATGAAGGTGAGGAAACGGACAGACTGACTGGGGCAACGTATTAGATTTCACAGCAGCACTGTGAAAACATCGCGTTTCACCAGCAAATCTCTCTCTGCCCAGCCTGTGCAGGGCGCTTGCACACACATGGGTGTGCTCCGTCTCTCTGTCACTCTCTCGTGCCTTCTCTTGTTGTTTAGTGTCAACATTCATTTCACTAGAGCAAAACTTACAAGAGCCCTCTCATTAAAAGTTCTCTGAGCATCTTAGAAGTAAATGTGAAATACGGTGTTTCCTCATCCTATAGATTGACATGAATACAAACATATTCCAGTAAACAGACACACCAACGAAATCAACTGCCTTTAAAAGAGGGAGGAAATTATAATCTCCTTTTCCTGATTCCTAGGTGATGAGGTGTTGTGTGTAACTACGGTACAAGGACAAAAACGTGTGCAGCTACGGAAGATAAGAGAAGCAGCAGGGGGAGTCAGCAGGGCTCTGTCTGTCCACTGGATGGATGCTCCGACCACAGTTCATGCTTGCAATTGTGTAAGCAACTAAAATCTGTTCCTAACACATTTCTATCGCTAACGCTTTAGGATTGTTTGTGATGGGATCACATGGCCTTCCATCCAGAAGGTGGGGGTGGCAGGTGCACACCAAAGAGGAATCTCAGTTTATCTCAGAGCAAACCTGGGGCCATTGGCAGCAGAAGCCCCAGCACCGCGACCGCACACGCCCTCCTCCTGCCAGGACGACGTCCTCTCCGACCACGCGGCAGAAGAGCACGACAGATCTGTACCATTTTCACGCTGCAAGGAAGCTATTGCTTTCATTATCTTACAGTGAACTTACATGCCCTTGTTTGTTCGGGGACAAATGAACCACCGGGTCCTGCCGCATCAGTCTCCCGCTGGGGCTCTCGCGGAAGGCTGGCAGCACCTTCGACACTGCGGGGAGGTGGCACGCCGGCTCTGGAATACAGCACAGGGCATTGTGGTGCGGGCACCAAACACATCCAAGCACAGGTCGACAAATGAAGACAGCTTGCCACTGCATCTCTTAGTTGACTGACCAGCAAACTCTGAATTTCAGCAATAAGCTCACTGAGAGTTTACACGATAGACAGCATGTCAGAAACTAAGTGGCCGATGGGTAAAGCTTGTAGCTGGTGACCATGTGTCATGTCACGCACATTAGCACAGCCAAGTACCACCAAACCAAAGGCCATGAACGATGCGGCAGAGTTAGGAGTCCACTTTCGGTTTGGGGGAAAAGTCTAAAATACATGGACTGAATTTATAATGTTCATTCATTGCCAAGTGTAGCTAACCTAGCTTGGTCTACGTTACCTAGACAGGCATGGATGCAATCACGTGTTACTTACCATGACACTTTGGAAATATTTTACCTGTATATTCATGCTGCTCGAGGAAAAAAGAATTGAAATCCTGAGGTCCTCTATAACTGTAAGCTAAGCACAACAGAAAAGACACACAGCAACTAGTTTACTCAAAACAATTGCTTCCTTTTGGAGTCTAAGCTGGCGCTCACGATGGGGCTCCAAAGGTGAAAGCTAAGGGATTTTGCTTCTTTAACACGCCCCTAGCTAACCGCAATGATTCTGGCCTCCTGCAGCACCATCCCTAACACATAACGGACTGGGCAATGTACTCCTTTACTCTGACTTTCAACCACTTCCAAAAGCAGAGAGGCAGAAAATGAACATCCACTGATAGGAGGGAGTTAATTAAGCAAGCTAAACTCCTCGTCTCCACTGGGGCAACAGTGGATAACACATTTGTGGACAAAGACAGGAGTCTGGCTAACAAATAAGAATCTCCTCGACATTTTCAATGAGTGACCTGAAAGTCATTAGAGAATTTTGTTCTTACAAACTGAGTGTTTAAAGGCCTGACCTTTATACACTCAATATAGACTAATGAGAACATAATTATTTTCATTGATTTCTCCCTAGCATGGCTTATACCAACTAAGCCCCAGAGATTCCGTCTGATGTGCCAATTAGAAAAGGCTGGGTTATTGTTCTGGAATGTAAAAACTTATAGATTTATTTTACTTTAACATTTTATTTCAAGACTTGTATTTCGGATAAAGGCCACCAATTGGTGAAAAGCCTCGTCTGGAAGGCTCTATAGATGTCTTGCAAATAAAAACCAAAAAAAGTAAAGGTGTACCTGCCTAACAAGATGAACAGGTGATGTTAATTTCAGAGTTTTCTCCCCCATGGAAAGTGGGGGGAGGGAGACCAGGGGGAGGCTTGTGTGAAATGGTGAATGCGGGTCTAGGACGAACCTGACGGCCACCCTCCCAGCCCCGGCACACCTCTCCTTCCTCGCAGGACTCCACCTGGGCAGGGAGTGTGCCACCGAGCACTGAACAAAGGGCGTGCTGGCAGCTTTGCTCAAAGCCTGCGCCAGGAGCCAAAAAAAGCTGCTAAAGTCATGATGAAGAAGGGATCCTCTGCACGTGTGCCGTTGCCATCTCAACAGTATCAAAACATATGGGACCGAAAACATTCTGTCAAGAGCAGAGCAGCAGATCAGAATATGCTCAGGTTTTCTGTGCTGTGGGTGGGTGGCGTGAGAGTGGGGAGTGACAGATGGCTTCCGTAACAAGGCACATCTCACTGAAGTTAGCAGAACAAGGCATATCTTCCGAACCTAGGCACTGCCTTTCTTTTCCTCAACTTGTGTGTGTCTTAGCTGAATGCCTCTCCAGTCCCTTTGATGTTCACGGTTAGGACCTTTGCCTGGGCACAGTCATTAAAACCGAACGAGACAATGCATTTGCTGAGAGGATGAAAAGACGGGCCTCACCCTGGCCAGGTGGTTCAGCTGGTCAGAGCATCATCCTGTACATCAAAAAGGTTGTAGGCTCATCCCTGGTCGGGGTGTGGGTACAAGAGGCAACCGATCAATGTTTCTCTATCATGTCAATGTTTCTATTTCTCTCTTGAATCAATAAACATATCTTTGGGTGAGGGTGAAAAAAAAAAGATGGTCCTTTGTCTTTAAAAGTATCTTCGTCAGACCTGAAATGTACTTCTTTTTAATCCCACACTGATGGTAATGCTACTAAAGATGAAATAAAGGAAAAAACACCTAACAGTAGATTCAAAACCCTGATGTATCAACTATGTTGCTACTCAATCTCTGATGCTACTGTGTTGAGACTTCATCATGTTTCACGGCAAAATTTTATTGTATCAGCTAGTGTTACAGTGTCATTGGAGCAAACTGCACACATACAGAGAGAGAGGACTATGTACCAGACACCCAAATGAAGGCTCACTAGTGAAAATCTTCCCCACCCAGCTGCTTTATCCTGCTAAGACACGTCCTTAGCTGACAGCTTAATAGCAAAGTGGAGGAAAAAAAGCACATAGGGGAGGAAAGAGATCCTTACCAAGCTACATATGTGACTAAACAACAATTGTATCTCTTTCTTATTTTGTATATAAGTTTTTTTAAACTCACAGTATGAATACTAACAAGTCTTTCAGGGCCCTTGTAAGAGGGAAAAAGAAACAGACAAACGAGGGGGCAAGGAGATACTTAGGACACCTGTGGTTTCCCATTCTGGCATTTTAATTTTGGTCCTGAAAATAATTCCTATGTCATTTCTACTTTTTAGATTTGGGGTTACTTAGAATTCCTTGACCTCTCTCTTAGGTCTTCCCTGTTGCTTTCACTTGCACATAATGTAACCGAGCCTTAACTCTCGTTCACATGTATTAACCAGGGCTGCATAATAGAACAGATCGCTCTGATGACATCATCGAGAGGGAGCCAAAGTCACCTTGGTGTAAAGGCAAGCTGCACTTTGTAGAAACTGAGTTACTTACCCATCTGGTCGGCAATGCTATCCTCACTTCTTTGCCAGCTGGGTGTGGATTTTCCACTGCCGCCAAGATCGGACTGCGTGTTCTGCCTGTCGATGGAGGCCGGGGATCTGCGGCTCACTCCGAACCTGCGGAGACGTCCCCAAACAGAGGCGAAGACGACATGAGAAACCTCACCCGTGACGGGAAAGCAGTCCTGGGCGTAGTGAACACGCTCTAAGGACAGGTACTACTCGTTTTGCTTGCATGTCTGTGCTTGTGTGCTCACCCTCGTGCCTGTGCACACGGCTGCCGGCACTCTGTTTGCTGGAGCTCAGCACACGCTCCATTCGGAAAGGTATGCAGGCCCAGTCTGTGGGCTGTAAACAAGGCTGGGAGCCGTCAGGCCCGAGCGAGCTGACCTAACACATACAGAAGAGCAAGAGCCCAATTTTTCTAGCCCTTGCGTGGCCAACCTCAGACTGCCACTCAGAGCCAAATGAAAAATTTCACCATCTTAACATGCCATGTCAATCTTCCGGCTGGGATTTCAGGGGTTTCTCTTAACTCAGCAATCTGCTAAATCTCTAAGTCACTGAATCTGCTAAGTTACTCATTCCTGGAACAAGTATTTTCCAAGCACTCTAAGGTCTGAAAGACAAAGATGGCTATCATTTACATTACTTAGAGACCACTTGCAAAACATAAATTTTAAACCGCTTTTGGGAAGGGCACCTCAGTGGTGGGTAAACTGGCATACATAAAGGCAAATGTCTATTTCTGGAAAGAATATTTAGCTATTTAAAGGGCCGGTTTTATTTTTCTCTGTGTAGAGTAATAATACAATATATACTTAATGAAAGCATGTGCCTTGATTAGCAATAACAGCCCAGTAAATCCTGACTGAGACCAGGAAAAAGGGCCAGAGTATAAATTCAAATGTTCAGGTGGAAATTTACAAATTTGTGTACGGTTACTCATGAACTTACATAAGCACTCTGTACATTAAAAAACTGCAGACAGGCCTTGAATCCATCAGTGCACAGGACAGGTGCCTTACTCACTACGAACTGATGAGTGCTCGGGAGAACCTCCACGCAGCGCTGGGAGGTGCAAGAGGTGGGAAGAGGAAGACCTGGAGCCACCCCAAGTCGCTCAAGTTCCCCCTTCACATCCTTCATTGTAAAATGGCAATTCCATTCCACGAATCCAGGGAGGAGAATCTGTGTGAAAGCACTTGCCAAGAAGGCTGGAACATATTTTCATCCAACTCCTCCTATACCACCTCCCTGGTTACTTTTGCATAAGTGACAATCACTTACAAATGTGATCACAAGCCCCACTAAAAAGTTACCTCTGTCATTAAAAACAAAACCTTGATTTATGAAAACCTCAATGACTGTGCGTCCCTCCCCCCCCCACCGCCTCCAAAAAAAGGATTTTCACTAATTATGGTCTTTGCTGCCGCCTCCCGAAGCAGGGTCCTTGTTTAGTTCAGGACAGTGAATGTCCTCGGAATGGCCGAGTGATCCTATTCTACCTTTGCACTCAATTAAGACTTTTTCCAAAAGGCACAGAGAGAAAAATTAGGATTGAATTCTGGCTTTCCTTTTACTTTTTGGTAACAGTGGAAACGAAACACAACTTTTCAAACCTCTGGATTTACAGCCGGGCCCTGTTCTGGCTGTGTGGTTTTAAATAAATGATCAAGTGCAGCTGTCTTTCATTCTGCTGAAACATTCTGGAAGCACGGACCTTTAACTTCAGTTCTCACACACACACTCACTCATTCACTGTGTGCCAGGGTATTAGGGTCACAAAGATCCCATTCTCGGGGAGCTCAGACAAAACCTGTTCAAATGCTACACTGTACCTCTTCTTGAAGAGACCCATTGTACCTCTGTTTGGAGGAACACCTAACACAGATTAAGAGCCACTGTTCAGACTGGAAGGAGTTTTTAAGTGATCCCTTGGCTGATACATGAGACCTGTGAGGGCACCAGGAAGTCCCTCCCTCAGGAGCCAGTCCACTGCTCTCTAGAGCGGCTGACGGCTTTGAAACAGCTCCCTCATAGCGGGCTGGAAACTTCTCTGTACCTGGCATTTATAGGTATCAGGTGCCTCACAGACATGTTTACCCTTCGCCTAGGACGGCCTCCTCGCCCCGCAACTCTCTTCTCCAGTGTGCAGGTCCTTAGTTATGTTCCTCACACCGCAGCCCCTGAACCCCTCACTTAGCCAGTCCATCCCTCCCCCGGCCCTGCCCTGACCTGTAGGCATTCTCCCAAGTGTGAGACCCCCAAATGAGTCTCCAAGGACGGCAGGATAGAAGACCCCACCTAGGTCCTTCCAACAGAGTGGCTTTGAACGACCACTCATTCCCGCCCTAAACTCATGCAGGTGCCCCGTTTTGCGCCCATTCAAGTGGAGAAGGTGTGCTTAACCACCCTATCGGGTTTCGCCTCTCAGATGATTTGGAGGGTCTCAGCGTCCTCACACCAGGCCAGGGAGTGGGCAGGCGCACACCCACCCTCCATGTGCAGACACCAAGCCCACTGAGTTGGAGAGAGGACAACAAAACAGAGCAGGTCACATTTATGGATGATGACCGTATACTGGCCTATTGCCATGACCTCACGCTTTTAAGCTTTTGAAAGTTTCACATTAGTGAGTTTGTAGCACACTGCGTGCACTGTCCACCTGCACATACCTATTTTTACTGGGCTCAGTTGTGGAGCAGATGCAATGATTTTCCTCTTGGTATGGGTGACTTTAGAGTTAAACTTGGCCCATGAGCAACACACGTGAATCAGACGGTGAACCAGTTCCTCTTGCACCACTGATACAAGCCAACACTGCTTGGGATCTAGCGCAAACACTGCATCGCAGGGGTTCAGAGTGTGTCACCCCAAGGTGTGACTCTGTGGTATGTGGATTATTTGTATGTGGAGCTAAAGGAAACCAAGACCCTTTGGGCTCAAGAGAAACTTCAGCCCCCTTCTTAACTAAACAGAACTTAAATTAGGGGCTTTGCCCTTAAGATATTACTGACAACTTTTTATGACCTACCTATTGGACAGGATCAATGACTAATACTGAACATCAGTCTTGTCATCCTGGGAATGACCTTCCTCCCTCTCAAGCCCCGAGGTGCCTTACGCCATCCTTAGCTCAGAATGTCGTGCATACCTCAGCTTCCCTTCCTGTCTCTGAACCTCTCATGCATGTGGGGTTCTCATATGGATGTATGTAATTAAATGTGGCTATTTTCTCTTGTTAACCTGGTGCATGCAGATTTAGTCATGAAACCAGAGAAGGAACCGTGAAGGTTGGGGGAAGTGTCCTGTTGTCCGCAGCGTCACGGCCGTGCGTGCATCACCCACACTGAGGAGGGCGCTGCACAGGCTGGCGGGCAGTCGCTGGCTGAGCTCACGCAGCGGGGACGGCCCTCCCCGCCACCTGTGCTGGGCTTCTGTCACACATCAGGCTGAAGGACTGCCACCTCACTACAAACTGTGCGGAAGGGCACTGGAACCATGTTTCTAGTATCTAATGTAAACGTCCACCAAACAGTAGTGCTTCGACTTCCACTTGGTATACACTAAAAGTGCATCATGGTCAGAAGAAAACAATGCTTTTCTTATTATTGGTGCTGGCTCATTTATATTTTATTGCTGCACTGACACTGAAGTTGCAGTGAATTCTTATTTTTGAAGTCAAACTAGGCCATTTAAAATCTACTAATTAAAAAAATATAATTAGTTGGGTTTGTGGTGTGATATAATAATACCTCACTCATAAAACCTTTCTCAGGAACTCATGAATAAGAGCTAAATTTTTTTCTGTCTCTAAAGTAATTAAAATAAGATGTGCTACCAAGGAAATCCTGGGGGAGACACTGAGGACGGGAGGTGGGTAGACAGTCTATGTTATAGTGGTTTTATTATCTACTTTCTGCTAACCACCATTTCCCAACAAAAAAGAAATCAAACTTGACAGCTATGAAGACCCACAAAACACTACAGGATAAAAATACCCCTAGGAAGGTGTTCTTAGAAGCATGATTATTCTGTAGCATGGTAAAATCTCAAGAAAATAAACAAATCATGGGTGCCTCTGTTAAAACATATATTTGAGGAAAACTCAGAACCGAAACATCAGTTTTTATAAACTTCTCACATGTGCTCTCCAGTCGGTTCCGAGCCCTCCCCGAGAGACAGCCCAGCAGGAGGTCCCTGAGGGGCCCCTTGCTCCTCCCCTGGGCAGAGGCCGGTGCGCACGCACACCGCACAGTGTTGCTGCCAATTCCTTCCCAGCTTCAGATATTCCTATTTTTTCCCTTTTTAGCAGCTTCAAAAATCATGTACACTTAGCTTTTTGCTTTGTCTTATCAGAAGCAAATAGTTACACTTCGGGGTACTTAGTGATTTCAAAAAACATGAAAAACAAAACCGAAAACCAACCCACAGGCTGAAATCACAGAAGACTTTTGAGGTGTGAAAAAAAATTTTTAAGCTTTGGATATGATGATCATTCCCCCTATTTTAACAGCAAAACAAACTCCAACAAGTGCAAGCTGAGTTCTGCTGAGTTCACTTGGGAGGGAATATTAAGAAGTCACAAAATCTGTACTATGAACATAGACAATATACATCATGGAAGAACAGATGTAATTTCATTTCTCTCTCATTGAGTCCTTAGAGACCAGAGAATGATCTACATCCTAAGAAGTGGCTTGAACCAGCACTAAAACATTTTTCTATCTGAAATATCAACCACATTTTCCCTTTTGTTCTTCTATAAGTTGATGAAGGCTGGCTGACGGAAGTCATTTTGCACGTCTGAACTACAGGTCAACGACAGCGGTGTCAGCTGGGACCAGGTACAAAGGGGCAAAGAGCATACCTACCCTTCGGGCATGGACTTCTGTCTGTACGTGCCTCCCCCAGAGCCGGTCTCGCTGGATGAAGACAGGTTGCTGGGGGAATTACGACACTGCTGGGATCTTGCTAACGCCATGGATGAGACCGTCACGTAGATGTCGGAACCAGGAGACAGCCTGCATGTCCAAACCAAAAATACGAAGTCAACAATTCAAAGGGGAAAGTCCCAAGGCAGGCGTGATGGATAATACCACATAAATGTGACAGGCAGCGACTTCATGCAGATAGTGCAAATGAAGCCAGCTGGAAGCCAACAAAAGAAACTTCCCCATGAAACTATTCCCTAAGGGAACAGCTGGAACACTGCCTTGAAGGGGGTGGGGGTGCGGGGTGTCGAAAATAACAGGGGGAAAAACATGTATGTTTCCAAAAACTGCCAGAATCCAATGGGCTGCATTGTGTATGCAGTCCCCTGGTATGGCAGCGTGGAGCATAACTGAACCCCAGTGACATCAACACGGCAATTAATCCCACGTTTTCACTCCAGTTCTGCCAGAGCACATGACCACAGCGAGCCTGGTACACTCTTTGTGTGCTTCTTTGTTTTCTAGTTTAAGAGTCGGGAATGAATATTCAGATTTTGCTAGTTAGTATTTATGAATTTGGTTGACAGTACCATCGACATATAAAAACTTCCATGAAAAAAAAAAAAAGCCTAGAACTGCGGCTGTTGAATTTAAGTGGGATGAATGAATTTTGGTGTGCTCTGCATAACCACCCAATACATTTTTTTCTAAAGCTATGGATTCTCCACCCTGCTGACTGGCTCTCCACACAGAAACTAGAGCTTTGTAGTCAGGGCAGATACATTTTTTTCCTTCTGCCCCCTCTACCCTAGTTGGCAACAAGGTAACCACCGGAATATCGACACATGCTGACAACTGTTACTCGATGTGAACTAAACCTTAGTAACAACGATCTTTTATTCCTGAAGTGGAGGCTGGCATGAAACGTTCGACTCCTGCAGCAGGGCAGGCCTTTCCTTGCTACAGCTGAGGAAGTGCAACTGAAGGCACCGTTCGCTAAGCCAGGCTTTGTGATTCTAAGCCCACTACACTGTGCTGAACTCCTGCTGTCCTCTAGAGAAGCCTGGGTTTTCTTTTCTTAACAGGCCAGTTTGCAGCAGGTCTGCACGGTCAGACGATTTTGCACACAAGGGCAGCTTACCCTTGCACCAAAGTCCTGAAGTCTGGGGATGGGACCTGATTCCCTGAACTACACTAGGTTCCTCCAGTGAAGCTGCAAACTTCCTGCAGCAGGAAGAATGGGGTTTCGGGTACAGCAGGTTGGCAGAGGGGACACTAGAATCCCAACGAGAAGCTTCTCTAACAGAAAAAGAACAAGGATAGGCACTAAAGGGTGTGACTCCCAGACCCACGTGGGCCCGAGGCAGAACTGACTTGAGGCTTGAGTGCCCAGTGACGAGCCTGCCGCCTCCATCTGTCTCTCAGATAAATCTCAGCGGGACACCCTCACCAGCAACACTTCTCCAACCTCCAAAAAGCTGACCAATGTTTTCTCCAGTTCTCACCCCTGACGCCCTCAACCTGCCCCTCCTATATTTGTTGCTCCAAGTTAAATACATTGACACCCTCCCCCCTTCCCTCGTCTTCCACAGTCGGTCGGTCTAATGAAGCTCAACTATTCATTGAGCACGGAACTGTGTGCTCAGGCACGCTGGGTGCTGGGCTGGAAAATATAAAGACAAAGAAGATAACTGGTCTGCAGCCTGCTGATTGTTTTCTCAGACGCACCCTCCAAATTCATACTTTCACTCAGCTTGTCCTTTCTGCCTGGAATACCTTCTCCCTTCTCCACTCACACACACCCTTCTCATCCAAGGCCTGATTCCAACGTCACGCGCCTGAATCCACAGGTGAATGCGAACGTCGAGTCCCACCGCAGTCTGTTCTTTGCACCACTACAGCACATCCCATGGAATGGTTACTTTTACCTGCGTCGACCCCACCAACCAGAGTCTGCCCTTAAGGGGCAGGACTGAGCCCCGTTTATCTTTCTATCTTTGGCCGAGTAACACGTGTGCAAGAGAATTCCCATCAGCAGTGCAGAAAATGAAGTACTGTGGGTGGTTCAGGATAAGGAGCCACAGTTACACCAGGTGCCCCCAGCCAGGGGCTCGCAACCATGGTGGGTTTACATCAGGTAAAGAACAGTCACTAATAATAAAGTGCCAAGATTTTTGTGAATGATTTGCTAAACACGATAACACTCAAACTTAACATGCTTCCTTAAATGTGAGAAAGGGGGATGATGGAATTATACCCAGGCACCCCTGCACATATATCGTCAATCTGACATGTACACTGGCGACGCCAACTCTATGTCGTGTGAAATGGGCAAGCAGAGAGCCCTGGGACCCTAGGTCCTTGGACACTGTGACACAAAGAGGCAGAGTTCCTATGGCCCTCAGGTTAACATCACCAATCTAATCTGGTCACTGATACACAGGTTCGGAGAAATAAGGGCCAACCACACGGCTGGCATCCTCACTAGGATGCCGGGGTCAAGAGAGGGACACGTGTGGGGCAGCGACGGTGGGGTCACAGGCTGTGGGGTCCTGGAACGCTGGCTCATCCCTCCTTTGGACTAGGTGTTTTGACAAAAGATCAATACATGTACCCGGGTACCATAAACCACGCGTCCCTTGATGCTCTTCCACTAGGACATCTTCCAAAGATCTCACTAGTTCTGCTGGAATAACTAGGAGGGATGGCGGGGGGGGAGGTATGGGAGAAGGAGAGTATGAAGAAGAGAAATTGAGTGAGGATTAAGGAATGGCATAAACCCTAATGTACAAGAGACCACACTACTTTCTGCCTTAAGAGTTTGGCTTTCATATGCACTTAATACAGAGAAGCTTCAAATACCGTCTCGTTTTGTAGCTGCCTTGATGCTTACTGCAAAGGGGAGGAGGTGCTACAGAAAGACGGGAGAACAGGAGACAGCAGTGGAATGTTAACACGGCTGGGGCCTGAAGATTTAGCTCTCTTCCGGGTAAACAAGTAATGCCAATGATTTGTGTTTATGGTGAATGTGAAAATGTTTATGCTTCTAGGAAGAAATGACAACACGATTCCACTGGGAAAGTAAAAAAAATGTAACATTTATATTTGTACTTAGAGCCTGCAGTTCTTACCCTGCTCTCCAAAATGAACGTTAAGCTAAAATTTCTCATGCTCGCTCTCAACCTCAGCTCTTTTATTTGGCTAGTGCATCAGAAAATTCTACTTGGTTCCTGGAGTTATCCCAAAGTGAAAAATAGCATTCCCAGAAGGCCAGCATTCATTCGCATCCCGCTGCTGCATTTACATAACTCAATAGTGGCTTTGTTTCCTGACCGCTCACCCACACGGAACACACGCGCACAGCAACTGACGGAACGCCACCTAAATGTTTCTAGGGCTCCAGCTATATGGATGATGGGGAGGAAAATCACATTTATCCTTTCTCCTCATGCCTTACAATCCTTTCCAAATACTCTGAATTCGATACTATCACACAAATATTATTTGAGAACAGACCCAGTTCAGGGCGAGGGACGGACGCCCGCCGGTGCTGGCAGCCCACTTCTGCTAGGGTCAGTCCAAGGCTGATCCCTGCTGGGCGCTGGGTTGGTCGCCGCCCTGCCTCTGTGAAAAAGAGCACCCCCCACTGGCTCACACGGGAAGGGCATGCTGACCTCTGGAGTCTCTGTCCTCCCACTCACTCTACTTTAAAGGTTGCTGAGGCCAAAGAAGAGTCAGCACAGGTTGCAAGTCTTTCCTTCCCTTTTGAAATAAAATAAAACCAGATCTTTGTGCTTTCTCTTAGTCTTGATGAGCCTGGGAAATGCTAGATGTTAGGGCCCAAATAGCTCAAGAGGACTAAAATTGATTCATCTTCCAGCTGCTGCGAGATCTTCTATTTCGGTGGAATAATCTTGTTGAAGAATACTCCGGTCACTGTGAGAAAGGAAATTTCTAAACCATTATTCATTTCAGATTTTCTTCCCTATATTTTTATATCTTTAGCCAAGAAATAACTAAATGTTTTTAAAGTAACTGATGTTAAATGTTCTCTTAAATGCTTTCTATTAGTCCCCGCTGCAGAGACAGAACACCAGGGCTTTCTGACTGTACAAAGAGCGCAGTGATGGGAAAAGTCACGCTCGTGAGCCCAGCAGACAACACTCCCACAGTCTGCAGGGTAAACACCAGCTTTTCATTTGTATGCAGGGCAGCTCGTAGCAATGCAAGCGAAGTTGAAGGGGATGGACATTTAAGGAAAGACGGTCCAAGATCAGCCTCAGTGCCTCACTTTTGCAGAAGCAGTCTCACACCGGGACAGAGGGGAGGAAAGACCTGCTAAAAAAATCCCAGATTTCTAATAAACCTACCCTGCCCCCCACCACATCCTTCCCTGAACCAACTCACAGGACTGCATATACGGTGCTAACGCTGACAGACTGTTGTTAAACTGATCTCTTCAGATTGTGACCAATTACAATTTATCAGTTTATGGATAAGGAATTCTCGGTATCTGTGTAACTGATGCTAAAATCTTTCCCCTGAGTCGGGAGGCAGTACAGGTTAAGTCATGCCTCCATTTCCTGCTTTCTGCTCCGAAGTGACAGCCCCGCTTAGATGTGTCCAAGGAGATAAGACCCCATGTGATTCCGGCGCAAACAGCAGATGACGGCAAAAACAACCCAGAGGGTCTCAAATAGCAGCGATGACTGACAAATTAGATACTTGAGTCTGTAATTAAGCACAGCATTTTACCACAACTCAGCAATTAAAACACTATTCATCCAGGGAACGGGATCAAGTTAAAGTCTGTCTTTGGCGATATATATCCGAGATTCTTCTACAATTATATATATATATATAAAAAATCCTCTGAAATGATTCAAGGTCATGCCATTTGGGCGCTATAATCAGAGTAGATCTGGGGAGATGTGCTCAGACTGGACCTCATCCTCTGTCGGTTCCTATTTTCCTACTGTGCATTCCGTGCACCAGCGCTACGCTGGCCTGTGGACCACACGACTCACGTCAGCTCTTCTGATTGGATCATGGAAATCCTGTTCTGATGAGCCTCCTGTGACAAGGTCAAT